AAAACTATTCCCCAGCTGGGCAAACACACACAAAGATGCACACTGACAATCCCTTATATAAGTTCAACACAATGACCTGGTGGTTTCTGAGTTCTTATCATGCTAAAAATCCTGTTAATCACTTATACTGTCATGGAGTGTTCAAAGCATGATGCTAAAAAAGGAAAGAAGACTCATTTAAATGTAAACACAAGATGAAGAAAGCTATCACTTCTGGGATTCTTTTAAATATTAAGCTCCATTTAACATAAAGGGAAAAACTTCTAGCAAATTCAATATACCAGCATCTCTAGCAATGTAACTACAGCTGACTCTCCCAGTGACTAGTACAAAGCCTAGGAGCAAGGCATCTGAATCAAACTGCTTGTTTTCCAATCTTGTCTTGCCACTCACTAGCTAGGAGATAATGGTCAAGTTTCTTTATCTTTTCAGCATCAGCTCTCCATGCAGAGGCATCACAACAAAGTCTATGACCACAGTACCTTAGCACACAAGGACAAATGCCATTTACTAAGCACTCACTGCTATCAAACGGAACTGTAACAAGTAGCTACAAAACTTTTTCATTGAGAAAAAAAGAAAAAATAAATTTAAAAAAATTTTATGGAGAGTTATCCATTTAGATATTTTAAGTTGAGAAGCACTGTAATAAAGGCTTTTTTAACCCATCTTTTTGAATCATTGAGAAATCTCTGGGTATTCCAAGGTCAGAAACAGATTATCTTAAATGGTAATATATATAATTTTTATTTTAAAGAAATCAGATTTTTGGTATGTATGAAGTACTAGGGATCAAATCCAGGGCCTCATGCATACTAGGCAAGCATTCTATCACTGAGCTACATCCATAACCCCCCTCCCCAAAAAACTGGAAACTGAAAAAAAAAAAAAAAAATCTTGTCCAGTCTTCAGTGTCTGTTTACTTAATTAAGTTGATAAGTCAAGTTCATCAAGTGGCTGAATTATTAATTAACAATAATAGCCAACATTTCTTGAGTTCTTACTATCTGCCCTACCATACAAAGATCCTTAGGCAGTGGGTTTACCAAAAGATTGTTGCCAAAACAACAATCAGGTAGCCTCAACTTGTATGAAGCCAATATGAATGTTGGAATTTCATGAAAATATCCACTATAAATCAACCAGCCCAGCCACAGACACTTGGAAATCGCCAGGTCCACCTCTTTTGCAGATGAGAAACTGAGGCCCAAAGAGATAAAATCCAAAGGTTACCAACAAGTCTCACTAATTCCCATTCAGTGTTGTCAACTATATGACAGATGGTTTAAAAAGAGAAAGGCCCAGTATGTAGAACATATCAAAATATGTTCTACTGTCATGATGTATATCTAAAAAGAACAAATAAAAAAGAAAATTCAGGAGAGAGAGAGAGAGACACACACACACACACACACCTACACCTCAAAATGTTTCTACATTGTTGGGGGGAAAAAAAATCCATCCATTTAACTGGGTGCAGTGGTGCATTCTTATAATCCCAGCCACTCAAGAAGGTTGAGACAGAAGGATCGCAAGCACAAGGCCAACTGGCAACTTAGGAAAACCCGTCTCCAAATCAAAAATAAAAGGCTAGGGGTATAGCTCAGTGGTAAAGCACCCCAGGGTTTAATCCACAGCACCACCAAAAAAGGAAAGATCATTCATTTAAATACCTGAAATAAGTATTTCCTTAGTATTAAGTATTTAGAAAGTTAAATATCAATCACAAATGAATGTTATCTATACCCCGCAGTAAAAAAGCTGAAAGGGCTCCTAGGACAGAAGTGAGTGGAACCAGGAAGTCACATGGCATGGTGTGTCTGTCCACCAGAATCCTTCGCTTGGGAATAAAACACTTCAGAAATACTGGACTTCCCCCATTCAAATCAACTCCTTTGGAAAGGAGTAAAGTATCCTTAGACCCATCCTACCGACAACCCTACCTCCTCATGAAGTTTTACCACCTTCTGAACATCTTTCAAAAACAATGATGCTGAATCTAGGAAGTTTTCATCCTTTCCAACTTTATGTAAAAGTTTTTTTAGTTTTTTTGGTGGTACTAGGTATTGTACCCCATGATGCTAGGTAGCACTCTATATCCCCAGACCTTTTTATTTTGTTTAGAGAGTCTCATTAAATTGTCCAGGCTGCCCTCAAACTTGCAATCCTTCTGCTTCAGCCTCCTGAGAAGCTGGGATTACCAGTGTGCCAAAGACTGGCTAAGTAAACATTTTTAAAATGTTTACTTAGTAGTCCCGTGTAGTCCCCTGAAAGAAAGGGGACTACAGATAGCAGAATGCAATACTATTTTCATAAAGGAAAATTCCAAAATATAATTTTGCTTAAAAGAAGACAGGAAACTTTGTGTAACAAGCAAATAAACTTTTACAAAGACTTTATTGTGGCAGACGAGAACTTAGCCAGATATACTCATTTATTTCCAGTAGCTGAGACTGGGTGCTATACTGAACTAACTGATCAATTAAAAGTTAACACAGATATTACACATGAATTACCAATTTTCAAATAAAATATATTCTAAATCCATAACCCAATATGGTAGCCACCAACTACCTATTGAGCACTTAAGATGTGCCAGTCTGAATGGAAATAAGATGTAAATATAAAATTTCACTGGAGTTCGCACAAGCTTTCAAAGACTTAGTAAAAAAAAAAAAAAAGTGAAATAGCACATTAGTGATTTTTTTCATATCAGTTACATGTTAAAATAATAAGTTTGAATATACTGAGTTAATAAAGACACAAAGATTCATATCTTAATCTTTTACTTTAATGTAATTACTAAAAATTTTAATTGAATTGTTAGCTTGCATTACATTTCTATCAAACAGAGCTGCTTTATACAAACCACAAAATATGACCCAATTTTCCTTTTATGATTCATCATAATGATGAATACCAAATATATAATAAAGCAAGAAAAATCTTATTTACACTTTGGATACATTCTTTAAGATATTCTCAAGTAAGAATGGCATGTTCTTGAAACTTCTATTAAATTTACAACCATCTCCACCTATGTTAATAAAGGAAAGATTCAATCCTACAAGTAGTATTTTTAGGGATCAAGAAGGAAATACAAAAGTAAAAGCCTCAAAGCGGGATTAAGAGAAATACCATCTGTTTTGAAAAGGCATTTTAAAACAAAAGCAGTGCTTTTAATAGCTGATAATAGACATTTTTTTAAAAATACTATTTGATTATTTTGAATAGTGGGATGAAATTTTCCAATTGCCAGCTAAACAAACTTGTTAAAAAGGAAACCTGTTAAAGTAGACTGGAAACTGATCATGTTGAAGAGAGGGATAATGCCTGAATGTACCATATGGAAAATACAAGTCAAGCTTCTTGTCAGGGCATTACTAAGTAAACACTACACTACGATGAAACCAGCCAAACTTTTAATAGATATCCTTCAATATTACTATAGCAATGCATCAATCAACTATTATAGGATCTAACTAAAACTGCTTTTCAAAATTCCAAAACACCACAATGTTTTTTCAAAATCTAGCCAGCAAGAATTACAGAGGGCATAGTTTCCAAATGCCTGGTCTCTAGAGGTTGAAATTAGAAATTGAAAATTCAAAGCCATATTTGCATGGCATTCTGCTTTACAAACACTTTTGGACACATCAACCTATCTGATCCTTAAGCTAGCCCTTACATATTGGTGTGCTTTTATTTCTACTTTAGAGGTAATCCCAAGTTCAGAGACTTTGACTTATTCAAGGTCACACAACTAAAAAGTAGTAGAACCAGCATTTGACCCCAGATATTCTGATGCTAGGTGATTCCCTTTCTAAAACAATCATTCATTTAAAACCATGTTTTGAATCCCAACAAGCTTAATGCCAAAGAAGGATCAAAGGAGGATCGACTAGGTCAAACCTTGAGACTTTGAAAAACACCAGGCATTTTAATCAATTCAAAAAAGGGAAAAGAAATTACTAAGAGTCAGGCAATGACTTGAAAGATCAGGTGGGAAAATATACAATCTAAATGTCCTTGGGTGCAGAACAATAGTATTCTAGTAGAAAATGTACCTTCCCCTGAAATGTGATTTTTCAATGTAATAGCTGCAGATTTTTTTAAAAAAATTGTATTGTTACTTTACTTTATATTCTTTGAGAATTTTACTTAATTTATAGGCACTCCAAACCCCAATACGTACTGGGTACAACCGGTCCCATAATTTTTCATAAGTCATGATGCTTACTTAACAAAAAGCAAATTGTAAAAATGAGAATTCAGTGACCACTACTATTTAGATCGCAGGTAAAGGAAAAGGCTGGGTAGGAGGATGGCAACTCCAATGGCCAGCATCTTTCTCACCGAAGGCATCCCAGAGAGCTGGACAAAGGCGCTAGCAGCACCAAGGACCCTGCTCAACCTTCAGGACACAGGGACAGCACAACAGTTTGAGCACAACGTGCCCATGGGGAAGACCGGGGAAATGGGGACTCCTAAGATGGCTCTCCGATTCCGTGCACTAAGCGCATTCCTCATTACAACCGAATTCCAAAATCCGGGAGGGAAAATGTAGATTCCAAGCGCCGAGCAGCACCCGGGGTGCCCACGCTGGGATGCCCACGCTGCCGGCTCCCGGGCGCCCCGAGAAAATCGAGGTCGGGGTCGCAGATACTCCGCGAGACCCACACCTGGTCTGACCGCTCGCCAGGACACATTGGACCCCGCGCTACCTCCCATTTCGTCTCCGCGGCCCCGGAGAGGCCGCCCCGGCCCCGGCGACCAGCCTCGAGCCCCCGGCCGCCGACCCCCGGGACCCCGGCCCCCGCCCGGCCCGCTGACAGCCCGACGCCGCCCCCACCTGCCCGCCCTGGGGCCGTAAGGCCGGGCGCGCCAACCAGGCCACTTCCTTCCCGGCTCGGCCCGCCTGGCGCGGGCCCGCGGGGGCGGGGAGCCGCGGGGGAAGGAGGCGCGGCCGTGGAGGAAACGCCGTCGCCGCCCGCACCCACCGGCATCATCGCGGCGCGGTCCGCGGCGCCCTCCGCCGCCTGACAGGACGCTGGCGCCGCGCCGCGCCCGCCGCTCTAGCCGCCCTCACAGGCCGCGCGCCCGCCGCGACGTCCTCCAGCTGGGCCGCGGCGAGGCGGCGGCTGCGGCGGGTTGCGGAGCCCTCGCCCGCACTGTCGCGCCGCCCGCGTGCTGCGCAGCCGTCCCGGACCGGCTGCCGCCGCCGCCGCCTCCGCCGAAGCCGGCCGCCTCCCGCCGCCCGCCGGGCTCGCCCAGCAGGCCGCGCAGGCCCCGCCCCGCGCGTCGCCCCCGCGGACCTACGCCGCTCTTGATTGGCCGTGCCTCCACGGGGGCGGGGAGGGGAGGGGCTTCCCCGGCGGCGGCCAGGTGCGAGCGCGCCCGTGCGCGTCCGCGCTCCCGCGGCGGGGGAGGGGCGCGCTGCGGATGCCGGGCTCCCGCCCCTCCTGCGTGGGGGCGGGTGACAGAGGGGCAGTGCTAGGGCTCTGTGCCGGGCTCTGGGAGACCTCCGGCATCCCGGACCAAGGGAATATGGGCCGGAAAGGGAAGGCCAGCCCTAGTCCCGCAGCGAGCCACAGCAGGCGGGGACTCGAACCGCAGGCCCCCGGGCCGGCGGGGCGCATCCCTGCTCTGACCGCAGCCTGACCCCGGGGTGCTAGCGCCCCGCAGGTCTGCAGACGCGGGCCTGGGGGATGGATGCGGAGTGCCCCCGACGGTCCGCGTGACCGGCTCCGCATTGCTCAGGACGAACTCGGGATCCCGCCTGGCGCAGTCGGGCCCATGACACCTGATCCCGCCGCGCGACTCACGAGGGCCACGCTGGCCTTGCTGGACTCTTGTCGACTCTCAGCGTAGGCTAGCGAACCCCCGCCTAAAATGCCTGTGCCCACCTGTACCAGCATCCTTCGAGGTCCGCCTTCCAAGTCCCAGGGAAAGGTCCAGTCCCCATCTCCAGTGTCCAGCTCTCTCTTTACAGTCCTGCCTCCTGTGTCACCTCTGGCCTCGGAGCCTGAGTGACACAGGTCAGACCAGGACCCAGAGCATACCCTCAGTAAAGGCTGCCGAACTGGCAGGCACCCTTTCTGTACGTTCCACATTGTGCCATAACCCTGAACCTTCATAGACGAGGAAGCCAAGTGGCTAATGGACTTCCCTCTGCAGCACTTAAAACTTCCATGAGCACCCAGAACACGGAGGCCTACGGATAGCCACAAACACCGAAGCTGGAAACCACCTTGGGAAGCGCCCCGCTCCCTGTAGAGAGCAGCTTGTGTTGACCAGGGGCGGTCTGTAGCTTGTCTGGTCCTCTGAGAGGCTGGAGGCTGCTGCCAAGTTAGGGGCAGAGAGGGAGGAGGCCAGGGAGTTACCAGCAGCCCCCTTGGTGAGGAGCCAGGCCTGTGCTTGGGAGGCCACGGGGGGGGGGGGGGGGGGGGGGGGGGGGGGTGTTAGTGGTTGAGAGCGTGGACTTTCCAGTTGGACAGATTTGGTTCAGCACCACCTCTGCCACGCCCTTGCTGTGTGATCTTAGGCAAGCCGCATCTTTCTGAATCTCAGGTGACTCTGCAATATGAAATTGTAGGGATAATCCTGCTCAGATATGATGCTTGAAAAGCACCTACCACAATCTGCCACACAGGGTAGCTACCCTCTAAATTGAATTCCTATAGTTATGTTTATCATTAGCAAGCCAGGCTTAGAGTACAGATGTTGCTGGGATTTTTAAACTTAAACTGGGACATAAATGGCTAGTGACACAACTTTTCTGGGAGCAGTGTTTGGAGATAAGAGGAAGCTCTGGGCAATGAGTGATCCTAGGTTGGATGGCAGAGGCCAAAGCTCCAATTCCAGCTCTGCTTCTGACTCCCTGTGGAGCGCCTCAATCTACCCATCTGTAACAGGAGAAGGGTTAGATCTCTGAGTGCCTACCAGCTCAGACATACTAATGTCCATGAGTTGTGAATGGGTTGGTGCTGGCCCACTAAGCCAAACAAAGGCCAGGCTCTGCTAGGGCATTGCAGAGAGGTGCCACCTGAAATAAGGTGATACAAATGAGCCCATTCTCTTAAGATGGAGACCCTTGACCACAAGGGTCCTACTCTTGACTGCAGGACCCCAGAGCACAGATAGTGGCAGCTGCCTGGCCCTCAAACCAAGGTTGGATGGCAGAGGCCAAAGCTCCAATTCCAGCTTCCAGGATAGCCTACAGGCAGGTGTCCATTCAAGCCAGGCATCCAATGGCTCCTCTTCAGCTAGTCCTCCTCCTGTCCATCCTGCCAGACACAGCAGGCATCAGGCCCCATCAGCTTGAACTCATCTCTCCCTGCTGTAAGCTCCTCCAGCCCCAGCCCCACCTCTCACATACTCCTGCACTCAACCTTCCTGGAGCACAGACAGAATTTGCACGCACGTGGGTGCGCGCGCACACACACACACACACACACACACACATACACCATAAAATCCTAGATGTCTCCCTGGCCCAGACCAAAGTTCACAAGAGGCCTGTCAGGAAGCACCTGTAATGGTACAATGCAGGTATTAGGGTTACATAAAATTTCCATATTGTTCAGAGATGCATCTTAGTACATGTGAAAGGTCTGGAATTTGTTTAAAAACAGCTCAGCAGAGGGAAAGAGAGCAAGGCAGTCAGGAATAGCTGAGGCCTAAGTCGCAAATTCTCCATAATTGTTGAACCTGGGCACCGGTTCTATGGGGTGTGTTGCACCTTTCTCTCTACTTTGCATGTTTGAAGTATATTAAAAATGATTAAGTATTCTTCAAAACAAAGAAAAAGGACCTTTGGAGAGAAAATCAGTATATATTCATATTTGCCTAACGAAATTCTGAAAGGATCCACAGAACACTGATAAAGTAATGACTTCAGGTGAAAGTGGGAACTGTGTAGATAAGGAACAGAAATGACAGTGAGGCTTTTCAGTATTACTTTTTTTAAAAAATGAACTTCATTTTTAAAATGGCTTTAGATTTATAGAATAATGCAAAGATAACAGAGAATTACCATATGCAGATCACCTTGACTTATGATGGGGTTTTTCCCAATAAACCCATCATAGATGAAAATACCCTAAGTGGAAGATGCAGTTAACGCCCTAACCTACCCAACGCCCTACCTTGGCAGCACAGCACATTGCAGAATACCCCTGGTGGTCTCCCCTGGTGAGGGCCTGGCTGCCTGGAAGCTCTGGCTCACTGCCACTGCCAAGCATCACAACAGAGTGTCAGGCTGAATGGAGCTAGCCTGGGAAAAGATCAGAACTCAATATCTGAGAAAGTTTTCTGCTAAATGTGTATCACTTTCACACCATTGTAAAGTAAAAAAATCTGAAGTAGAGACATCATAAGTTGGGGACCTTCTGTATAGCTTTCCCTATTAACATCTTATATAAGTATGGCACATCAGCTACAATTAATGAACCAATATCAAAACACTGCTATTAACTAAAGCCCATACTTCTTTCAGATTTCTAGTTTTTACCCAATGACCTTTGTTCCAGGACCCCACCTCATATTTGGTCGGCAGGTCTCCTTAGGCTCCTCTTAGCTGTGATAGTTTATCAGACTTTGCTTGTTATTTATAACTTTGGCAGTTTTGAGGAGTGCTGGTCGGGTATTTTGTAGAATATCCTTCAACTGAGATTTATGTCTGTGGTACTCATGACTGCACTGAGGTTAGAGGGTTCTGGGAAGAAGATTACAGAGGTGAACACCGTTCTTATCACATCATGTCAAGGGCCCGTGCTATCAATGGGAATCTCACTGTTAAAGCCAACTTTTATCCTATCACTATTGCATTTTATGCTTGGCATTTTAATCAGGTGAATATTACCACTGTATTAAAATAAAATGTAAAAAGCTTAAGACCTATGTTAGTTTACCAGGCCTATGATAGCAACATGTGGCAAACCGAGGGGCTCAGACAACCAAAATGTGTTTTTTCACAGTTCTGGAGGCTGGAGGTCCCTGGTGGAGGGGCTGGCAGGGGGTCTTCTGCAGCCCCTCTCCTCAGCTTGAAGGTGGCTGCCTGGCTCTCCACATAGTTTTCTTCCAGCGGGCGCACATCCTGGTGTCTCTCTTTCCATAGGGCCTCAGTCATGTTGGGTTAGGACCCAGCCACAGGACCTCCTTGGGCTTCATTTTCTCTCTAAAGGCCCTGTCTGCAAGTGTAGTCACTCTCTGAGGTGTACAGAGGTTAGATTCCAACATATAAATTTTGGTGGACACAATACAGTCCATAACAGGACCTTTCACAGTATGACTCTTCCCTCCCTTTTCAAGTTCATCTCCCATTCCCCAGCAGCCCACACCTCATCCTTGCCCTAGCCACAGAGAACCCCACCACTCTCTCCTTAAAGTCTTTGCTTATCCACCTCCTGTGTGTGAGAAAGCGTTCGCCCATGTCCCTGTTGTGATCACAATTCAAATCCTCCTTCTGCAACATTTCCCCTGACCCCTCAGGAGAACCTTCCCCCCACCTTCTCCTGGTCTGTTCAGTCCTGGGGCCCCTGTCACGACATGCAGCTTTAGAGCTGTCAGTGTTTGTGTCTCCCCAAGGGCTAGTGAGCCCTCAGTTAACAAGTGTCCACTGGGTTTCCCCTATGTGCTAGGCCCTAGTGACACAATCTCAAGCAAGACAGAAGAGCTGTCTGTCCTCATGGGGTTTGTATTCTGGTCAAGGGAGAAGATGAGAAATAAGAACATAATGCTGACATTAAAAATGATATTGTGGTGCACGCCTGTAATCCCAGCAGTTCTGTAGGCGGAGGCAGGAGGATTGTGAGTTTGAGACCAGCTTTAGCAACTTAGTGGCTCAGTAGTAAAGCGCCTCTGGGTTCTATCCCCAGTACAAAAAAGAAGAAAAAGAAAGAAATGGACAGATAATGTGACAGAGATAGAAGCTGTTACCAGTAGAAGGTGGCATTTGAGTTGGGACCTGAATTCTGAGGAGGCAGTCTGTGGGGGCTATGGAGGAGGGGGAAGGGCAGGTGAGAGAGATGCATTGTAGGGGTCTGTCCTGTGTTAGAGGCTTGATGGGGTGGGGTGGGGGTGGGGAAATGAGGTTAAGTTCAGTTTATATACTATGGCCAGTCTACATTTTGTCCTGGAGGGTTTCCAAAGGATTAAAGAGGTCTCACTGATGTTTTTCAGTGGCCAGTGTGGGGAGGCTGGCTGACCTGCAGAGAGTAGAGAAGGGAGGCCCTTTAGGAAGACTAAGG